ATTATTGTTATATGTAATAAAAACGATTAATTTTTTATTCGTTAACTTTTTTAAGATATTTTCTCCATATTATAATTGTGTTTAACTTCAATAATGATCTAGTTTTAGTTGCTGACATTTTCCATAGAAATGTTCGCCACAATTGTTGTTATCAATCTCCGTTTTTCAGTACTTCTGACAATGAATAGATAAAACGATGCTCGTCGTTCAATTCATAAAGTAAATGCTGAGGTAAAAACGTTTCCAGGTGTGGCTGCAGGCTCCAAATCTCAATTAATACTCGGCAAAGTGAAATAATAAACAAACGGTAGGCCGCCGGCTGATAAATGACGCCGCTCTGGGCATGATCCCTCGGTCCCCGGATGGTCTGAGCAACGTCTACGATCCGCATGATTACATACACGTCGTGTATCACTTTGCGTGCACGCGATTCCGCGGGATGGCCTCTGGTAGGCGCAAATTTGCTCATTGTGGCGCAAAGATTTAAATGAAACTGCAAATACGTAGGCAGTGTAAATTTGAATCGTCTAATTTATAGGGTAATTCTAAGATCTTGCCTCCTTTCCATATTTTACCTTTTCCACTAATATTTTTTTCTCCAAAATTAAATTATAATACCGACCATTGTTGTTTATAGCGCCGATTAATATTTATTTACGTTTGCCCACTTCAAAATTATGTGATCACGGCGTAGAATTAATTAAAATGAAAAAATATTAGAACCTTTCACAGATGTACAAAGTTTATTAGCTTAACATTTTTTAAATTAGTAACCATACGCATTAACATACTCCTAGAAAATGTCATTATATTGTTTAAATAAAACATTTGCAAGAATTTAGTTAATTCTGTTGGATTGAAAATTTAACATTTGAATTAGCATAATTCAAGGTATTATGAATATATTAATAATTATGAAACACATTGCATTTTTTACATTAAAAAGATATTTAAATTGTAAATATTTCATTTTTACTCTACACTAATATTTTTGTCACGAATCATTCAACGAAGATACTAATTTAAACATCCCCAAACTGTTATGTAATATAGACAAGGATAATATAAAGCACGTTATATCAGTCACGTGTAAAAAGAAAATAACATATCGTTTCCTGAAATTGATACATTGCTTTATGATATTTTCTTATTAAATTTGTTAGATACTATCTAGAAATAATAATCAAATAATTTATAATTACCTTAACTGATCTATTTCAATTTGATATAGATGAAAATGAGTATCATAATTAATTGAAATAGGTTTTAGAGTCAGTTTTTGACGAATAAAGAATTGATATTATTATTAGTCGTTTAAAAGCAAACAAATTTAAGAAGAATATATCAGACAGATCTATAAATCCATCGTGTTTATCGGACTAATTGATCGAACGGTGGGGAAACATTACAGGGTCACGTTTAATGAATTGGGCCCACTTACGTACATGAGATGATCGAGAGATCTCTTCGGCAACTATAAACTGGAAAGAGGTTCCTACAAGCTTGTCTGCGCAAAACCCGCGTATGTCATCCGCAGAATTTACTACACGCTATATATTAATTTATATCGGTATAATATTTAACAAGATTTATTGCTCGTCTCAGCGATAGGGCTATTAAATCCAGAGGAATTGTTAATGATTCTAAGCAACGGGACGTAGGCGAGGTTTCAGAAAGGGTCATCAGCTTAATATATTTGCCTTAGGCTACTATTCTTCTGTGCTTCTATCTTGAAATTAAAAAATAAAGACTTTCCGTTTCCTGTTTAATATGGCGAAAAATTTACATATTACTTCTAGAAACAGCTCGCTATGAATATTATATGATCTACTCCGTACTAAGACCACGTATTGTTTTCTTCATTTTTAATGGTACGAATATTTCACAAACTATTTGAATAATTTGAAAAATGGAGCACAGTGAATTATAACTAATAGTAAATCTATAGTCATATATTCTCATTATTTATATTTAATAAAGCTCTAATAGAAAGTTGAACGAAATAGTGATTAACCTCATTTTTTATTTATTATATTCCAAATGCTCAATCTGTATCCGAAATATTTCGTTTCATTAAAAATAAAAGATATATATTTATTGTTTTATTATTATTACTAGAGTATTATAATATATATCTTTGGCTTTTTTTTTATTGATTCGGTTTTAGAACATTAGCATCATAAGATTTATTCATGCTGCGATAAACTATCGTTCATTAATCAAGGCCCGTTAAGGAGAGGACTCTTGCCATTCGAGCACGATTAATTGAGAATCGACGACATCATGCAGCTAATTCGTCTTTTTTTAGCCACGTAACATGTCGTGACAGTGGGAAAAAGAGTGGGGAGAAAAGACAGCGGCGGGGGAGAGAAAGTCATTGTGAGTGCGTAGAGATATACGCAAAGATAACGCTTATCTGATCTGTAAGTGACTTTTTCTTATCGCTGTCTTGCCACACGTGCTCGTACAGACACCTGTACGCACAAGTGTACGACGAGCTTCAACTCAATGATATTAATTGGTACACAGGTAATGCACAAAGTTATTATTCATCCTAGCGTGCAATCAATGAGTTAATTACATACGTTTCTCGATTTACTGCGTGTCCTCGTGATTATCGACTTCCTTTAGTCTACGATTACCGATATACGTTGACTGTCACGTGAAATGTATTGAAAGAAATATCATTGATGAACGTACACTAAGACTTGAAAATGAAAAATGTAGTATGTAATAAAAGTGTGCATTATCATTAAATTTATCTTAAATTGTTTTTTAACCCCTTGCTCTATGATTTATTTATCAACTATGATCGATACAACTACTTTGTCATTAATAATTTATTGAGAGAGAAGAAAAATTCTAAGTAAATTGTATGTACAATATTTGCTCCAAAGTATAATAATTAATAACAGAAGAGTAATATTTAATTTGAATTGTAAAGAATTGAGTAATATTTATCTTACTTCCCTCGAGTCTAACACATTGTTATACAGCAAAGGATTAATTTATGAACATTATAAAAAAATATTATTCAAATAAAATTATCCAACATGTAACAATGTAAGAGAGGCTTTAAAAAATGTAATATTATAAAAATACAAATTTCTGATTTCAATAATTGTTTTCATATTAGCCAGAATTTTTAGAAACATATCTTAAATGTAATAAAAGTAAAATAATTTATTTAAGATTATTTAGAAAATCGAAATATTGTGAAAGTTAAGTTTTATGATATTTAGTATTTAATTATTTATTTAATATGGACAAATAATTTCTAAATTCATCATTCGTAGCTTGTAAAACTTTTTAGTAATGGAAATTTATAAGAAGGCAGCAGAGTCAAAAGTTGCGTAAACAACCTTCATTTCTAAAGATTCAGTAAAAGATTGTTATCTTAGTAAAGTGTTTAAACAGATGACTTAAAGTAGACATGTTTCCAAACAAATAAACCGTAAGTAGTCCAGTGAAACAGTTTTGGCGGATAGAACAGTTGATTCTTTCAAAATAATATTCCAAGCGCAAATACGAAGTGTTAAGACTGCTGAGTCGTTTCGGTGATTTCAATGCATGGGTATTTAAAAGGACTGTGCATAGAATGTTGAAGTCTCCGTGTTTGACTATTTACGTAAATATTAAATGCTTATTATATAGACTTTAATTGGTTTTTCATTAGAATTGCAATATACAATGCAGTTTCACTACTTAACTGTGACTAATTATATTACTAACAAATTCTTTGTATGGTACTGCATAAATAATATAGGGTAAATCGGGGAGAAATGGCCCACTTTTATTAAACGAATTATTAAATCTTAAATATCATGAATACCTTAACAACAAAGAACATATTTATGAAAGTAAATATTAGTAAGGACTATAGTTAATAATACTCTTATATCCAAAGATCAATATACCACTGAAAATAATTAAAAATATAATTATTTGAAAATCCAAACGAGATCGAGCCATCTCACCCGAAATTATCCTAGAATATACGAACAAAAAATAAAAAATAAATTTATAAGGAATACATATTTTTGCTCTACTTCTTATTTATGCGGTATGTCACATATAAAATATTGCGTTGTCAGAAGTAGGTTACAGTATCAACTATCCGGCTATAAATATACGCAATCGGGGCAAAAGTAAGTGGATAGATAGTAACAATACTTATCCACGTGTACATAGATATATTCCTTGCATTAGGAACT